GGGGGGGGGGGGGGGGGGGGGGCACTTTCGTGGGGTACGTGGGATGCATGAGTTATACGCTTTCTTCTTTTTCTCGTGCAGGGTGTCGTGCTGATGGGCGCTTGTCTCTTCCCCGTTGTCGTCGTAGTCGTTGCTGGTGTTGTTGGTGTTACCATTTTTCGCTGTGTTTCTTGTCTTTCACATGCTAGCTCTCGACGGTTTCGTCGGGCTCGATTCTCCGCCGCCGCCTTGGACAGCCCCTGACGATTTCGACGTTTTCGTCGTCACTCTCGTTGCTCCAAATGTCATGGCTAGCGTTTGCGCTCCTATCACACTCCAAGACATCTAATGCGAAATCCACTGCTTGCGTTTCGTCCTCCCGGCATGTTTCCAAGATGGCGAAGGCGAAGGGGATTCTGGTGATGGCGGTGACGCAGTGCCTCAGGGGGGGCGTGAGCCTCGGCGCCTACGCGGTCGGGGTTGCGCTCGAAGCGAACGGTGTTGTCTCTGGCGGGGACATGACCACCGAAGCGGTCGTTACCAAGCTGGGGTACCTATTCGGGCTCACCAACGACGTGCAGGTAATATGTTTCTACTTGTTCGGTGGATACCTTTAAGTTTTTGTGCATGCATACGTGTAGTCGACCGGATATCTGTCAGTTAAGGGTATCAATTGAGCGCCCACATTTGCGGCCGCGCGTGACAAAGGGCTGGGTGGTGGCTCGGGAACCACCCGAAAATGTCGCGATTGTGGAGTACCATTGTGTTAAGCCCGCGCCCGCCTGTTCATCTGTATGTTGTAGTTGAGTGTTCCATCCCCTCCCTTTACACACACACAGCTGTTTCTAGCGTCAGTTTCGATGGCGGACGTCGCCATTCGTGGTCGTGTCCACGCACGCTGGAAGTGTGTTTGTACGTCCTGTGTTGCTCGCCCGACGACCAGAGCATCATGAGCGGAAGGCCATCGGAAGGGCGTGGGGAACTCTAAAAATCTTGTGTGTAAACACGCCAGCAGACGGGGGAGAGATATGTCGCGAGCAATGTCAACTCTGGGGGGCTGAATATCTCTCTGCCTGTGTTCATCCCCGAAACCTTCATTTCCTGCTGTCGTGCGATGTTTTTGGGGGGCTTTCCGCTACCCCCGCCCCGCCCAGGCGATCAGGCGGATGATGACGCTGAATCTCCGTGGGGAGCTGTCGCCCTCGAGCAGCTTTCGGCACCCGCTGATCGGAGATGACGAGGATAAGGTTTGCATGCCACGCCATCAGAGGAGGGCTTCAAGAGTGCCCGCATGTTCTGGGATGAGCAGAAGACATGAAAAAACGATTACTTGTGCGTGACTGGTCACTGTTCTGTGTGGAGAGCCCCAAGATGCGGAACTGGTCCAGTTCATGCGCTACATAGCGCGTACACCAACGCTATGTTCGCAAGCTCTATCTTCACAGCAGTGTATCTGTAGCATGTTTTCATTGGTCGTTGTAAGCATTGTTTGCTTTCCTATGGGCACATGTTCTGGTGTCTTGTTAAGGTCTCTTCTCTTGATGATGTTTGCTAGAACAAGCTCGGAGGTTGCCTCCCTGGAGAACCCATTCGTACAGCACCATTCACCTACGACTACAAAAATTTACATCCACCGTACTTTAAACAACTTTTCAATGCGCGCGGTACGAACTGAACGATTCTGACCGTTGCTTCCAATACTCTTGTAAGGTGAATACGGCCTTTGGGGTCGTACGGAGGAAGACCACGTTCGAATAAGCTCTTCCACACAGAGTACAGTTTTTGCGTGTACACTGCTTGCGTTGTTTTCGTGCTACATCGCCCGCGTGCGCCAACTCACATGATAAAAATGAATCCAAACCATGCCGAAAAGTTGCTTCCTCTTTCGCCCCTTATTTTCCGCTTTCTCTACGCCGAATCACTATGTACCAGGTCGAAGCCCGACACGGGTCTTTGGAGAGCCCGAACGGCTTGAATTATTCTTTTGGACCATCGTCGAAGTTGTAGCACGTAGCTTGCACCCAGCGCTAGGTGCATCTGGATGTTCGAAAGTGCGCGATCTTTTTTTGTTATTTTCGAAGTGCCGATTTTTTCTGCGTTCGTTTGCGGTGTCCGGCCGGAGCATGATGCGTAGGTAGCTGTAGGCCCGTCTGATACGTCAAGCACACATCGAAAGGTATTTAGACTGCCGCCGGATTAGGTGGGGCGGACCCGTACGCGGGGTTGGGGTATCGGTGGGGGAAACGGTCGGCGCAAAAACTCGTCGCATTGCTCCTCCCTTGGTTTGAGCCGAAAGGTTTTCTGAACTTTTGCACTCACGTTCCCGGCTTCTCATTGTACCTCGGTTGCAATACGAATGTGATGTTGTACCCTTATTATTTTTCCTTACATAAAGTAGGTTAATTCACGGTCGGCGTGTTCCTTAACGCGTACTGTTATGTGTTTCCCAATGACGTTATTATGCGCGCTGTTGTGTATACATCTCGTTGTTCCTTTTAGTTGCACAAATAAGAGGGAGACGGTGTTCTCCAACGCATGTAATGACTTGTGTTTCGCTCGGGTTGCACAAAGAGGAGATACGTCCTTTTTTGTTTCTATCCGTGGTGGGGGTGGCGAGCAGAACCTTTGCATAGCACGTTTGTTTTTTCTTTCTGTTCTGGCCCTTGCGTCCGCTCGATGGATGATTGTTGTGCGTGGTTCTAGTGCAGAAGAAGCGGGTGTTGCGTAATTGTGTGGTCGAGACCTGCTTCGATCTTGACTACGTCTCTTGGGAATAATTTTGAGCATCTAACGCGCTGCCGGTTGCAAAGACGGAAGGCAAATGGGCGGCGGCGCAACTTGCCTTCCATCGTGAGCCAGCCATAGCCGGGTGCGCGTTGGTTGTATCATGTGTGTTTGTCTACGGTCTTTTGTTAGGAAAACTTGGAGTCGCATCCATCCGTGTCCTGGCTGTGGAGTGCAAGAAACAGTCCGCACAATCGATCAATCGTGTTTCTGCTTTCCAGAGGGAGAATAACCGTGCATTCTTGCACAATATGAAGGGATGAGTAGCACATTAAAAGGAGTTCAAGAACAACTTCTACCGCAGGACACTTCTCCATAAGGTCGAGTTCTCTCTTGGCGGTTTTCCCAGTTTCTGCGCCCTCCTTTCCCCTGCTACCCCCTTCTCTAACGTCGCCTGCAATTGCTACTCTCTATAAGTTGTTGCATCTCTGTCAAACGAGCTCCAATCCGCTCTCACGATACATGTCACGCAGGGGTGATGTTTTGGAGAATCCCAGATGGCGATTTCACCGCCGCCGTCGTCGCTGCACCTTTATTGCATTTCCTCCGATTCTTCCAGAACCTGCTCTGCAATCGATTTGAAAGCTCACAGCAATCGTGAACACAAAGTCGCACGCACGCTGATTTGGATTCACTGTTGACGAAAACCCGCGAATCTAAGTACATACACGTGATGCACACCCGGATGACGTCTTCTTTTGACTCTTTCATGCAAGTTATCTCCACCACCGGCGGTCCCTGTAGAGATACATGTATGGCAATGACTGGTGGTCCCTTTTGGCCATGTTTACCCCGTGCCCCCCCCCCGCGTTTCCATTGCTCTGTCGTTGTACTATGTTCTCGATTCGTGCATTTCATTTCAAGTCCGACTACTAGACTACAGGGCTAGCTGCGCGTGCTGCTACCGTCGTTCGACCGAACCGCCACGTACGAAAAATGACCAAAATTCGTGCACAAGGGGATGCCATCTTCTTTCATATAACAACTGAACGCCGGAGGTGGTAATGTGGCACCGTCAATCCTTATTCAAGCAGCATGACAGGCTGACACGATGAACTTCTTTGCGTCAGCGGGAGAATTGTTGCTGTTGTTGTTGTCTTCACATAAAAAACCGTTCCGATCACTCTCTACCCAGTACCGTCGTATGTCCGTACTGATCCAGCACTCGACGCGGTCGATTCCCGTTGTCACAGGTTAACTTATCCTAAAAAGGTACACTCAGATAAACTGGCCCCGAGGGGTCCGCAAGTCAATAGCAATCAACGACAGATATTCTGCGCGCTATGCGAGGTAACAACTGAGACTAGGAGTCACCATCACGGGCCGGAGAGAAAAGAGGTACACCCCCTTGGTTCAATCATGGTACGTCACAACGCAAGCAGAGACAGGACCATCTGGCACAGAAAAAGAGAGAACCAAAGAGAGAAAAAGAGAGAAAAAGAGAGAACAAGAGAAAAGAGAAGAAAACAAAAGGAAACAGTAAGGAAAGAGAAACAAAATGGAAGAGAGCGAGGACAAAAAAGGACCAGGCCGAAAATGACAAGAAGTAAGAGACAGAAAAAGGCACACGGTGGAGATACCACTAACGAACAAGCAAACACGCGAACATTGCCAACAACCAGCGATACATTGTAATGGTACGTCATCACTAGTGGGGGGTTGGTGCAACGGTGCCGCGTTGGGGGGGG